GTTAAATCTTGTAGTAGCTTCATTATGATAATTGATAGTTAAATCTTGTAGTAGCTTCATTATGATAATTGACAGTTAAATCTTGTAGCAGCTTCATTATGATAATTGATAGTTAAATCTTGTAGTAGCTTCATACTATGATAATTGATAGTTAAATCTTGTAGTAGCTTCATTATGATAATCGACAGTTAAATCTTGTAGTAGCTTCATACTATGATAATTGACAGTTAAATCTTGTAGTAGCATCATACCTTTGCATTGCCTTTCTCGTCGAGAAGAATGTTTTCTAGTTTTAAGTCTCTGTGGCAGATTTGGTTCTGAAAAATAACAACAAAATCATCAATAAATTTTGAATATAATGTATAATAGCATATATTCATGTTGAATTTGATATTTATGTAAGTATTCTCAAGTCTGGTAACAGATGAAAAATCATAGAGGTTTTCTGCCTTAACTTTCAATTTCACTAAAGGAAAAACAATGGAGTATAAGACCTGATAGATACATAGCTTTGAATAAAAATTTTTAGCTTACAATTTCAACGGTTTTCCTTTCTTTAATGAATAATTGGATTTATGTTTGAACCTGTACTAAACACTGATAGACTCTGAAGACTTGATCTCGTAACAACAGCATATAGCTGTGATAATGTGGCGTAACACAAATACAGGTATACTAGTCCAACAGTAATATAATACAAAGTTGTAATAATTTGACAGAGTTGTTAGCTTGTTGACAATAAAATACAGCTATAATAATCTGGCAGAGTGCTTAACTTGTAACAATAATACGGAGCTGGAATAATCTAGAAGAGTACTAACGTTGTAGCAATATTACAAAGTTGTAACAATTTGACAGAATGTATGTATTGTGACAATGCAATCTGAGAGAGTATTTACCTTGTAATATTTGTATACATTAGAATAGGAGCGGGCGAAGCCGAGTGGTTAGCGTGCTAAACTATGAATCCGAGGGTTTATGGTTTGCGTCGCCTTCTAGACAGAAAACAAACACAATCTTTTCGCACGGTTTTAGGTCGTGTGCATTATAAGAGTGACTTCAAATTCCACTATTTGATTGGAGTGGTCTGGCAATTGGCAATGAGTGCTGTTCCTTCTAGTCTATAAGTTTAAAATTAGAAATGATTAGCGCAGATATACTTTGTATAGATTTGAGCTACTACCCTAAACAAACCAAACTGACAAAATTCTTACATTGTGACGACAGAACACGAAATGCAATGACGACACCACAAAGCCGAAACAATCTGACAGAATACAGAGGTTGAGTACGTCATATCAGAACGAATTTGGAGCCTCACTACGTCGTTTTAGTTCCATGTCGTCACGTCACGTCCAGTTATGCTCTGTCTGACGACCTTGTACCTGATAATAGCCTTGAAGTATAGTTTTCGTTACAAAAGGCTTCTTCGTTCTTCGGACAAATGTCATATCCAAAACACACCAATCCTCTGTGAAGTCTTTCTATAATCTATCTAATGAACAATGACGACGGTTTTCCAGCGCACGTTTCAATAGTCCGATGCATCCATTATGCTTTCGTATGGAATTACATGAATACTCCAACTACTTGAGGTTTGCGATGACTGAATGGATATGTCGTGGAAGTAACTAGTGTACACATGACTTGTGTCGATTTTGAGATCTGTCTTGATTTACGTTGCTTATTGTTACCTGAGACACGTGGTCGGCTTTTGCTACTAACCTTTGAGTTCGTAAGTTCTTACTCGTTACAAGATGCTGCATTTTGATTCCTAGAATGTTGTTGTCTTGCATATTTGTCACTGGGAATTTATTCTGTGAGATTGTTGCATTTGTGTAAAAGGGTAAGTACAGAGGGTTGAGTACATTATATTAAACAATATTACTGACATGTAATAAACACATAGTCAGTTTCTAAGAAATTATATTTCAGATATATTGATATATGTGCACTGCAATTTTCAGCCACTTTGAAGTAGTGATGGTATAGATTGTATCAGAACTACGTTAGGACATTATTTGGCGTTTCATAGGTAATGTGATGCTACTGAAAACTGATCACTTCTGGGAAGGATTTGTAACAGCCATTTCAAAGCAGATGATAAAAAAGATGTGTTCAGATCGGAGATTTAGAATTTCCTATACGATGGTATCTCTTAGATTTGATGGCATTGGAAAACAAAGGAATGTAGATCAACTCTGAGCACCATGACCATACAAAAAATACCTGCAACAAGTCGTACTCCAGGATACCTACCTTGTGACAATAGTACACTGCTGCAGCGATCTGCCGAAACAGTCTTCGAGCTGCTGTGTCTGAGAATACTTTCTTTTCGCTTAGAAGATCGTACAACTCTCCCCCACTGGCGTACTGCATAACAAGAACAATTTTCTCCGTGTTTTCGAATACTGAAATATTCACATATCTCTGTAACTAGTTCTTCAGAGTTCATATTATCTTTAAATGTATTTAGATATGTCGAATCTTTTTTTTTTATCATTTATCGAATCTTTAATTGAATCATAATATATTTCTATAGGAATATAATACATACTTTTGCTTTTTAAATATTTAAAATTCACCAACAAATCATTACAGCCATGGAGCTCAGAACTTTTCTCAATCAACACAAAATACGGAAGAGTACATTAAAAGCAATATTTAACTGCAAGAACTCAGTGAAAACGAGGCTTAACTGATGATAATAAGGATTTCATAGAACTATGTTTTATGTTAGTGAATCCATGGAGTCAGCTTCTGAATGTTTATATTTTGCTTTCAGTAATGTATGGTTTACAAAATATTACATGAATTTCTAGTTAGATTACACCTCACAATGTCTGTTAAGCTCACTTCAAAGTTGCAGACCACATATACTAATATCTTTAAAATAACAGTCTATTAGAAAGTAACTACGCGCTTATAAGAGATGACAAAATCATTAAAAAAAATTACTAAAAATGAGTGATCTAGCAGTTTCCACGAGTAATTTTGAAACAACATGTGTTTTTAAATATCGACGAAAGTTGTGCCGATTCCAGACAAATATTTAGTATAAAGTTTGTGTTACATTCTTAGCTAAATTCTTTGCATACTGTTCTGTATTGATATTATTGTCTACATGCATGGAGTAGTTATTGAGTAAATGCCCGAGTAGTAACAGAGAATGTAACATATGATTGGACAAACACGTACGAATTGTTATTGTGGTCTGTATACGTTGTTTTGAGCATTTGCTCGTCAAAACACACATATATACACACCTGTTTTGTATGAAAGGGCGTGTTTTTGGTATAATCCTTTTCGAAACACTTCAACACTTTGTTCAGACAGTTTCTCTGTACTTGGTGTAGAGTCACGCCTTGTCACATGCCACAAGTTATAGGGCATCAACTTGTTTGATGGTCCAGAAATGGTATGAAGCAAACGAATATTACCAGAACAGTAGTGTACCCACATCTAGTGTACTGTATCCAGAATTCTGAAACGCCATCAAACTACAGAAAACGTTGTTCGAAATAAGTCTAGCACCACCTTACAACAGGAATGGTATGAACACATTCATTCCAGGGTATCAGAAGAACAGTGAATAGGATACTGACAAAACAGGGTTATTTTGCAAGAAATGCTGTTTGCAAACTGATATTAAGCAGAATTGACTGCCGTCACCGTGTTATTTGGGCAAGAAAACATGCCAACTTATAGGTAATACACGGGCGACATGTCATATTTTCAGATGAGTTCTGTTTCCAGCTTTTTAAAGCTGATGTTAGGATTCTTGTTCGTCGTTTTCCCGGAGAACATATGAGAGAAGACTGTTTTTCCCATACGGAACACACAGCACAGGAGGTGGTGCAGTATATGTTTGGGCAGCTATTCATCATAGTGGAAAACTGCTCTTCATATCTTCCAGGAAAACGTCAATGCCGCCTCCAACAGACATCACATGGAGAATATATTTCTGCTATATGCTAGGGCAAGGTTTGACAATAACTTTGTATTCCAGGATAACAATGCCATTTCTCACAGTATGCATATTGTACAGGATTATCTTAGTCATGATGACGTTACAAGAATGCCATAGGCAGCAAAGTCTTCAGACTATAATCCCATTGAGAGCTGTTGGGAAGAACTGAGCCGGAAAATTGTTAGCCGCGACCTTAAACCATGTACTATAGCTGAGTTGCAGCGCCTTCTAGTGACTAGTTGGGATGAAATCATGGTAGATTACATCAAAAATCTCATCAACAGCATGCCATGTTACCTTGCAGTGGTTATTAGAGTACTGAATGTTTAACATGAACTGATATAAGGTTACAGAAGCTATTTATAATAAATTGATGTTATATTTTGTTATATATGATTTGGTAAGATTTTGTTGTGATAGGTGAAATGCTGAATTACACATCTTTCTACAGGTGACTGATAAAATTGTTTGCTGCTCTAATAAATCTTTCATGATGTCCATAGACCCTGTCTCATTACACAAATTATATATATATAAATGTTTAATATAACATACATTTCTCAGTTTGCCAGCGCTAAGTGTATTTGTATTCCATATTAATAATAATGACCTTATTTGTTACAAAATATGCAAACATTTTGGCCAAGACCGTATATTACTTCTACGACTATTAATTTTCTTCTACGTTTAGTAACAATATCACTTGCTCTCGGTAGAACTCTACTGAACACTGTGTAGATAAAGACATATGTTCAATACCGTGTACTTAAAAAAAAGAAACTTTTCATGATTCTGGAAGGCTTAAATTATGTAGGACGTTATTTTGGGCTCTATTGAAAAAATAGTCAAACCTAACCTTACTCCAAAATTAGGGTTTAAATACCGACACTAAAATCAAAGCAATGAGGTGTGGTAATATACTTTCTGTTTACTGTTAACATCTCTATATGGTTTCCCAAACTCGACGAATATAAATATGTAAAAGAAAGGTTCAATGAGTACGACGACGCACCAATGTTTTTTGTACTGAACACTCTACAAGTTCTTCCAAGTAATTACATATGAAGATAATGTTACCATTTCCGTCTCTATAAATATCAACAAGCATTACCCCATTACAACTCTGTATAAAACGTAACTAACACTAAACGAGAATATGCTTTATCCATTCAGCCACAGTACTAAAACTGTCACTAACCTTTTCAACAAATGTAAAAAAAAACCAATAAATATGCAAATATGAACCAAAATATACACTTACAAAAATATCTACACTGCTAAGGTCAGCAGAAAGTAAGCCTTTTATGTATACAGTTTGAATACTACAGATTCTGCTAATACTAACAAAATAGCGATCAAATTAGTATCTTTATTGCAACGTACTACTAAATATAGGATCTCTAGAATAATAATAAAAAAATTCTAATCGCAGACACCGAAATCTTGTAGTCCATTTGTCTTAGGCCTAACTTTAGTTAAGCCTTTATGAATATATAAATAAACACTGTAATTTGTTTTGTTTTTTATTTTTATTTTATTAGGGCTAAACTCTACCCTACTTAATACCATCAATAAATAAACTTATAATATTATTCTATGATGAGCTTCTAATATGTTGTTGTACAAAATGTTTACATTCTGCCCCGTGCATGCGCATTTAGTTAGGACAGACGAAAACTTAGTGTTATTATAATAGAAAAATGTTTCAACCAATAAGTGCATATTTACTCTGTGGTGGAATGTAAAGTTTCTGACATATAAGCTGGAATTATGTGACCAGGAGTAGAGGGTTGGGTAAAACAGTGTTATTCTCTGGTCGTTTGTTAATTTCCCGTATAATTTCTTTTGGATGAAACTTTAGCGACACAAGTCCTTTCTTAAATAAAACTAGTTTATTCTTTCTCAATATAACTTTGCAATACACTTAATTTCTACAGTCACTTTAACTTAAACACACGCTATAATTCACAACAATTCACGCATTTTACTTACGGTCACTACCGCGCTTGACCCGATTGTCCGTCTCCATCTCTGCCTCTCTGTAATTCTATATGCCGTCACTTCTTGCCGATCTTATATATACAAAAGAGAGGGCATCTGGCAAACACTCGAGCCTTCAGGAACCTTCTAGATACTCATTACGTGTTACCAGCGTCACGTGTCGTAACAACAGGAACAAAGAGACTGAAATATTTTCGCTCACCTGCTGCTATTTGTATCCTCTACCCAAGTATCAAAAATATATTCTGTTTTACTTTTCCAACTTTTGCTATTTATAACGTTGAAATATGGACTGCCTTTTTTATTTATCTGTTTTATATTATATTCGTCATGACAAAGCTCCAAAATTCAATTTTTTAAGAGCTTGGAATAGAATCATATAACAAAAGAAGAACGAAAATCTTTATTATATTGGTAATAACAGCGCTTACTTAAGATTAGTGTATACAATAATGATCACTAATTTTTCTAATTGGCTGGCGCAAGCCTTCCAAAATGAAATCTATAGAGATAGAAATAAGAGCTGAATGTACAAACTTGAACGTATTGGTTGTGTACAGACCTTATAAAGTAGGAACTCTATGTCTTTTCTTTATTAAATGCAGATAATGCATGAATATTGTTACGACAGCGGAAGTCGCGTGACGCTGTGCTGTGGTTTCTCGAATGATCATGAATTTTCCTGGCAGCTCGAGTGTGATCTAGATACTCCCTTTTTTAGTATATAAGCCAGGCGAGAAACACAAGCGTGATTGAAGAGATAGATAATTGAGTCAACCGACACACAGTAGTGATGGTGAGCCGTAAATTGTGTGTGTTTGCAGTAGCATAGAATGAAGTTATCGAGCTTGGGAATTGCTGTGATTTATAACATGTGTTATAAATGTTGTTAAGTTTAAAGTGACTATGGAAATTCTGTGTATTACTAAAAGTTGTATCGAGAAAGAATAAACTGGTTCAATCAAGAAAGGACTTGTATCGCTGAAGTTCCTCGGAAATAATTTCTACCGGAAATTAGCAAACAAACAGATACGCAACAAATTGGTGTCAGAAGTGGGATGAAAATAAAAAAAAAGAATATGGAAATGAGAAGTGGCTAATCAAACTACAGCTTAGCAGATTTGATGGCAGCAATACAAGAACAGCAAAAGAAACAAGAAGAACGAGAAAAGAAACAACAAGAGAGACAATAGCAGTAGCAAGAAAACCTGCAACAGTGGCAGCTCGAACAGCAAAATAAACAAGAGATACTATGGCAGTTGTTGGAGGAAAAAGAAAAGAAACAAGAAGAATGAGAGAAGAAACAAGAAGAGAGATTACAACAGTTGTTGGAGGAAAAAGAAAATAAACAAGAAGAACGAGAAAATAAACAAGAAGAGAAGCTACATCAGTGGTTGGAGGAGAAATAAAATAAACAAGAAGAGAGACTATGGCAGTGGTTCGAGAAGAAATAAAATAAACAAAAAGAGAGACTACAGCAGTGGTTGGAGAAGAAAGAAAATGAACAAGAAGAGAGACTACAGCAGTGGCAAGAAAACCAGCACCAGTGGTAACTGGAACAAGAAAGGAAACAAGAAGTACAAATGGAAAAGATTATTAATTTCGAAGTGAATTACATACATTAAAGGATGATTTACTTTCTTTTACACAAGAAGGATACATTAACCATCGAGTTAATCAGCCACAGACAATGGCAAGCTCTTTCCAGACCACGCAGCTAAACCGTAATGCAGTCCTGTTAGAAGTCACATCCCAGATATGAATGTCAGTAATAGGGGTGATCCAGTACAAAGGAAGGCACAGGAATTCGATGGGAAGGCACCATGGGAAGCATATAGAGCACAATTTGAGCTACTGGCAGAAATTAATGGATGTACAGAGGAGCAGAAAGCAGTATATCTGGCAACGAGCTTGAAGGGACAACCACTGGAAATACTTGGACATTTGTCAGCAGATGACAGACACTACTACAGAGCACTGGTAGCTGCTCTAGAACTCAGGTATGGAACTCAAAATCAGTCCAAAGTCTACAGGGCTAGGTTTAGGACGAGAGTCCGTATTAAAGGGGAGAGCCTGCAAGAGCTGACACAGGATTTGGAAAGTATGGCACACAAGGCCTACCCAACTGCACCACCCAATGTCCTCATGTTGTTGCTGAGAGATCAGTTTGTAGATGCCTTGGACAGTCCACAATCACACCCCTCTACTATGCAGGATGCAATGGCCAGAACTCTTAAATTCGAATCCTACATTAAGTCCAACACAAATGTACCAAGGTTGGTACAGCCATAAGGATTCAAGGCCAGAAAAGGGCAGCTTTCAGAGAAGTTTGAGGAACTTTGCTGGTGCTGTAACAAACCTGGGCACAAGAGAGCTCAATGCCAGCAGCTTCAACATAGGGACAATGCCACGGAAGGAAAGGCTGCTACCCAGAAAGGTTGTTGGAACTGTGGAGAGCAACGACATATGAGGAGCCAGTG